CACACACACACACACACACACACACCGATAGGGAGGACATCAATCCACCCACCGTCACTGCCTGCATTATCAATGAACTGAGTTACAGCACCCAAACTCAACACTTCAGTCACCTTCAATTCACCAAAGTACGCACCAAAAATTTCATCACAACCACCCACCATCGCAAACATCTCACCTAACATTTCACATTCAATGGTGAGCAATTTACAAGTGCTGTCTTCCACAATCAGACAACCGGAACTCATCGTTCACAACCTTCTGCTGCTTTTGCTTTCCTCCTCCATTCAGGCCCATTTGACCCCATAACGCCACCTTCCTAGGCCACACTTCAACCCTTTCACCACTCCTGAAGCGTGATTCACAATGCAAGCAACCCAGGCACACAAATGACAACCAATTCCCAATCCCACATCTCGCCTCAAATAGTCACTGTCATTCGTGGCAGCAAATCACTTGAAGATTGGACAAAGGTGTGTCCGTTCGTGCCACCATCCACCAGTTCGCCCAAAGAGGCGCCATGCAGACTCAAACTAATACATCCTCAAAAGTGCACCGGACTGAGGGCATGCAATATTCATAAGACTTAATAAGGCGTTCAACTTAAAGCCTCACATGGAAAATGAAAGACAAAATCTCGCTGATACCCTACACATCAGTGACGTGTGCACAACAGTTGCAAAACGAATTGGCACATGCAGAGAGAATGCAAAGCCAATTCTCTCGCCTTATAAATGCACAGACAACCCTCAATTCCCCCTACCTCAAGTACAATGTGTTACCTCCTCAATCCCCTCAAATCAATGCACAAATCCGTATCACCGTTGGAACGACAACCCCCCCCCCCACCCCTACCTCCCTCATCGCTCATCACCACTACACGCACAACCCCTGTATCCTTCTTCTGTTCAGGGCTGAGGCAGAGTAGCAAAACCAAGGTAAACGCCTCCACCGCCGTTGATTCAACACACTTACGACCACGACAACCCCACCTGGGGGGAGATAGAGGTGCACTGTGAACTGTGAAGTAGAGTGAGAAAGCAAGGCTAGCGGTGGAGAAGACGGGGACAGACCTGGAGCAACGCCTCGGTGAGCGGGGCGAAGATCATGGCGCCAATTGGTGTGCCGCAGGTCGTCATTCCGATGGCTAACGCGCGACGTGAGTCAAAGTAGAAGCTCACGCAGATTATCGACGGCAGGTGCAGAAACCCAAAGGCCGCACCTACAGCCAGCCCGGATTGGAACACAAAGGGGAAGAGAGAAGTCAGTGCAGCAATAAATAATCTCACTCACACACCACACCCCGAAGAGCAGCGTAAGCTGTAGACCCTCCCTCGCCTTAGCATTCCATTCACCTTAAACCACTCGCCACTTATAATGAAGTCATGCTGCGCAATAACTGCAGGGCATCATAACAACCGCGCTTAACAATAGAGTGCTTTAGGTACTTCAAACCTCTTCAACCCCTATCTGACCACATTTCCCGCCAAACCGTGTTTACTCTCACTGCTAAAAGTTAACCAAACTTGATCCAAGTCTACCCATCCTTCACACTAATGCCCATCCTCTAGTGAACGAGGAGAGAATAGTTAAAGCGCCCTCCTACACTAGCCCTTTTACCACCCCCTCTCCATCCAATACCAATACAACCACTAAACCACGCACTACATATCACTGCCTACGGTAATAAATGTCGTCTGCACGATGAAACCGCCACTCACCCTTTCATCTGACGCTCTCCATCACCACTTCACCGCATCCACCCACAGAGGAGGCTGATCAGTCTGGCAGAACTACAGTATACGCTTCTAATCTTGCTGGTGTGAACTACTTTCATGCTAGTCCACACCCCCCACCAAAGTCAAAGCATCCTTATTTTGACACTTTTTCACCTACTTTTATGCTCCAATCAATGCTTTCGTCAACCTCAATGCCTTTCCCTTCAAGTCTTGCCAACCACATGAAGCACTACACCAGACTTGCACTGGCACAGAGAACAGCTTAGCACACACCAAACACCACACAATTCAGTTACCACCGCGTCTAGGTCCACTGTCCATTCACTATCCAAGCAAATCATCAAATTCATCCTCCTCACTCCCAACGCTACTTCCAAACCCCTCGACAACGGAGTTAAGTCGCTGCAACTGCAACCCAGACAACTTGACACCTCCCAAAGCACATCGACAGCCACCCAAAACACCCTCAAACAAGGACTACAACTGCGCAGACAGCCCGTCTTGACGACACAACGCAATGCCACCAGAATGTGCCCTTATGGGATATCCGATCATGCACAGTGAACTACCCATTCGTCAGATGAAATTAACCACTTTCCTAACCAATGCGACTCAAAAACCCATTCCAGCAAGTAGGCGAGCGAGCAAACACGCAAGCAAGCAAACAAGCCAGCCACCAAGAGATGGAGAAGCAGAAATAAAGGCTAACACTAATTGAATGACTGACTGACAGAAATCAATAAGAAAGTCTCGTTACGTACCAGCAAAGACGCCGTAGGAGACAAGCATGAGCTCGATGGTGGGCATGAAGGCGCTCACGAACATTGATACAGTGGCCAGGAGAGAACCGCCGATTCCCACAGCTCGACACCCGAATCTGTTCACCAGACCCGCCGCCACCGGCCCTATCACACACAACTCAACAAATAGTCTCAAGTCAAATCCCCTCATGCCATCTACGCACCCACACAACATGCACACCAAACCTGCTACCTCATACTGGCACCGTGTGCTCGGAAGCCAATACATCTGATACTGCCGAGTGGGAATTAAGAAACCGCATCCCCTCTCCGTTGACAGCGCCCCCACCCCATCACCAATCAACAATTACTACGCCTCCCAATGCATTCACCCAATTAACCTCGCAGCTCTTCATTGCTTGCTAAACGCAGTGCAGTAGATCAGGCCCAGTCATAGCCATGCCTACGACGTGCTGTGCAAGGACATTCTAAATGCTCCGCCTTCATCACCCCGCGCCTAGTCACGAACTTTGTGCTCCACGGACCTAAGAGCTGCTCTACTCTACCCAGCTCCATAGACACACACACAAACTCCTCTCAACAATTTCATCAGTCTCCATTCCTCTATGCACTACAAAACACAGAGCACACCCAATGCGTGCCCGAACGACCCACACCATCTGGTTAACCTTTACCATCCACATCCATCCCACTTCATTCGCTCTTGCTCGTCACTCCACTTATTTACCGCCGCTGAACAGGTCCAACCGAATTCGCATAATGTTTAGCCAAAACAATGCTTCATTGCTCCACCGATACCGAACATAACAAATGAGCTACGCGGACAAATAAAGGCCAAACAACCGCAAACTCTATCATCAAACCCCAATTTCCACTTTCCCTTCAAGTCACGCAACACTCCTTCCAATGGCTTTGAACCCCACCCACATCAGTAACTGAGACATGCATCACAACATTCACACACTAAAGCCACGCAGCACCACTTCCTGCACCTCGCTATCCACCCACACTCACACTCCATCTCCTCCACCCATCCCCAACTTATGACTGGGAGATGGAAAGCCAAGTGATCGACACAATTAGGAAGGAACACTGAGACCACTTACCGACAATTTGGTAGACGCCAAGCAGAAGAGACCCCATCAGCATCACTGTAGCCACGGAGGCGTTAAAGTGCTCCACCAGGTCGGCCACCATAATGCCGAAGGAGACACAGATGCCATCGATGATGAGGTTTGTGATGAAAGCAGCAAACACCACCAACCACCCCCAACCGCCGTCCGGTGGCACCGGCACAAAGGCCTCAGGATGCGTCTCTGGTCGAATCACCTGTTTTAGTTGACACGAGCAGGAGGGAAGGACGTAAGCAACACTCGGTCGAAAGTATACACACACACACATGTAATCATGCATTCACTAATGCCTCCACACACGTATCAGTTTGTTAACTCAAAATCCGACCCCCGTCGTGGTCCCACCAGTGGACCACCGACTGCCTACCCTCCTACTCGGACAAACAAATGATCCAACTCCCGCCCCACCCTACCCCACCTTTCATCATGCCTACGTGCCCCCACTTTCTTGGCTCGTTTCCCAATTCCACATCACGCCGATCCCGAAAACGCACACACCTCTCCTACCCTACCCTACCCTACCCTCCCAACTCGCCCTCCAAAATCCCTTCCTTACGCTAATCTAACAACGCCCACACACTAATTAAAATTTAGCTTTCTCATCAAAACCTCACCAATCTAACCCTATGCCACTTACCCCTATGCCCTTCAACATCCACTACTCACCTCACCACAAATTCCCATCCTTACACCATCGTCCCTTGGACGAGATGCACTCCTCACAAAGCACCGCCACATTGCACTCGTGCCCCCTCAACCACCTTCACCCATCATCACGCCTCTTGTGTGCCCCACCATATTCACTACCCCCATCACCCGCACATTACACCACAAAAGCACCCTGTGCCACAAAACGATGACACACCATGGATGACAGCCCACACCACCGCAACAACTACACCGCCACTTACTGTTCAAACTACACACCTTGGGCACACATTCATTCACTTCTTCAGTCAGTCACACACATTCTATCTAACTTTTTGAACTCTGTAGACTCCAACACCGTAGGAACAAACCATTCCCCAACACATAGACACGTCTTATAACTTGACAGTATCGTGCCACATGGAAGCACATAACAACACCCTCTGGTGGTAACCAATTTACCACTGCGTTCACATCTTTACTCTGAGTAGAGGATACACAAACACACACGTACTTGGAACAACGAACGGCATCTCCATTCTGCTCACCACTATCACATAAACCAACTGTTTCGCCAAATATTTGCCTGCTCATCATTCATCTTACCTTCACTTTCAAGCCTAGGTGTGTGCCTGTGTGGATGTATGCGACTCAGCGAAAGCTCCACCTTGCCCTGAGATGTCACACCTCCACACAACAACTTACTTCCGCCTGTCGCATGGTCTGCACAACCATACACTCAACCAAAGGCCCAAACTCTACTCTATCGACGACCAGCAAAACACCTTACCGCCTCTACAAACTACTCTACCGCCAGTACACTGACACCACCCGTCACCTCCCAGAGGCTCTTCCGCCTACGGCACCGAAAAGAGAGGGGAAAATCCAATTAAGTACAAACACGACTCCTCGCCATGACAGAAGTTGTCTTTTGTCTTCGTGACGGACGGCAGACCCAATTAACACCCTCCCAATCCCATCAGCGCAAATACATTACAAAGTAAACCTAGCCCCTTCTTCGCTTGTCACACACACACACACACACACGGCACTTGCATTCATTGCATAGTGTAAACAGTAAACACTGCGCTGCATTTTTCAGCTTCCTCTCCACCTATCGCAACGCCGATTACTCCCTCCACCCTATATTAAAAATTCACATCTTTACATCCTGTTGACTCACACCAAATAAGTCTATGAACCGTTTCTACAAACACGCGCTTACCCCCATTACTCCTACAGGCCATTCATCAATCCCTCACCCACACCTACCATCTCCCTTCCCAAGGAAGTCAAACAACACCAACACATCACAAACGAACACACATCAACAAACCAACGCACCCAAACCTCCGCTCTCTCTCCCCCAACTTCTTTCAACTCGCCTTCGCACCTCGCTTCGACCCTATGGTGAGTTACACCTTCGCCGATGCGTGTCACATCGTCCACACCCTCCCCTCACATTCTCACCCTCTTTCATCCAGCTCGAATGCTGATGAGCTCAACAACTATGACTCATTCGGTGCACATTACAGGAGTTATAAATATCGCACAACCGTCGACACTTCACCAACCCAACCCACACATGTTCAGCCACCTGACACAGACAACAATCAGCAAAGAACACGGATAAACCAACAACCAACTACAACTACAATTACAACTGCTAATTCTACTGCTAATACTACTACTACTGCCACGGCCACTGCCACTGCCACCACCACTACAGGTTCCACTCCGAACTCAACATCAATATCTGCTACATCGTGACCCACTACCAGTAGCCAAATGGATAGACAAAGTATTAGGAGACGGGTGGACAGACAGAAGATTCGTGAGTAGACTGATAGACAAACGAATAGGTGGATTAGACAGATAACTGAATAGTTTGTTGGATAACTATTATCACCAAGTCAGTACAAATGTAAGCAAAACACTCACTTCACTAGCCATCCTCCATGTCTATGCTAGCCACACCTCCTCCCTCCGTTTCACACCTTCCTCACTTCCATCCCACACGCCACCCAACAACTCAACCCTGCCGCTCCTCACCTCACATCACTTACCTGTACCACCAGTCGCATCCTCATCGCTCACCTGTGGTGAGTCAATAAAACTTACAAACGAATCAACTCAATTCTAGCTTCTCAGCTAACTGAACACACGCACACCACCTCCAACAAACATCAGAGAAGCGAAAGACCGAGGAAGAAAAATGGAAGATGGGAGGAGAACGCACCTGCAGTCCTGCAGTGGAGGCAACATTCAAGTCCAGTAGAGAGGCGGGCAGCATCGATGTGGAGCGGTGGATGGTGGAGAGGCTGCGAAAAATGTTCGATACCGATGTCGTGGCGACATACGAAGGCCTCGTCACCACCGAGTGCAGACGCACCACTCCTGGCGACGTCTGCTCCACCTGCTGCGAACTTTGCATCTGCCCTCCCACCGTCGACGTTCCGCCAACCACCACTCCCACTGGTGACGGCGGCTGCAGAAATGAGGATGAGTTTCTTGCCGACATATCCCCTGCCTTAACCTCACGAATTGCCTCCTGCTTCTCCTTACTTCCCACCTGTAAGACCATTTACTCCATTCTCACCTCTGCATCCGCCAATCCATTCACCAATCCCACCCAAACACGCGCAACAACCTCCTCCTCATTCACGACCAAATACATGCAACTGTGATGGACAGACATTTCTACTCATCCCCACCGTTATGCAGGCATGCACACCATTCCACCCAAACCCATCCATCGCCTTCGTTCCACCACACCCAAAACGCATGTCCACAAAAATGCATGCAATTTACACAACAGCCTCGCTCTCCAACTCCCCGACCAATAAAGCCCACCCCTTTCACATTACACTGATACGCTCACACCGCCAACCACCACTATCACCAATGCATCACAGCAATCGCCACGCCTACTTCTATCACTCCCCGTCCTCGCAAGTGACCCCATACTTCATCCTCGCTCCCACCGACAATCCACACTATCCTAAAACACCTCTTCCCCCATTCCTCCAAATACCACTCATTCCTACGCCAATTCCACACAAAAACACAAACATCAAATTCAGACCTCGCCAACCGACCGCATGCACAACACCTCCACCCCATCTCCCTCGCCTCCAACCCCCTCTTCCAAACACTCGTGAACGCCTACTCCTCAATCCCTGCATTTCAGTCCGCTCCACCCTGCTGTTTGGCAAGGCACACCACACGCCCAACATCCCACTCCCACAGCTGTGCTTCAGCGAGCCCACAACAATCCGCATGCACTAGCTCAACAGACTCTAACTCAAATGCTCCCCCCAAAGCCCAACAAACACCCAGAATCGCACCTCCAACCGCACAACAGAGGACCCAACAGCAACTCTCACTGATGTGCGACAATCGATGAACTCAGACAATCCACCACCCCGTTTCAACAACCTTCAACTCTTCACAGTCTCCTTCGCGGCCCGTTGCAACGTTTGAAGTTGTTCACCCTCACAAACACACCCACTATCAGACCAACCCACTACCGCAAACATTCTCACGGCATTGCCACTAGGTACTTTGAAACCCCCATTCAGTCACCATAGCTACCACCAATCCGCCTCCCCCCCTCCCCCCTATTCCCCTACCCACCCTCAATTACACACATCTGCACCCATTCACTGAGATGGCACCACTCATTACTGCCGCAACCAAACAAACCATAAAGTCTCCAACTCTCTATGCATAAACAATGCATGCGACGCCAATTCGACGACGACACATCACACCGATCGTCACCAAACAAGCCGTTTAACCATCCACATTCGAGTCCCTCCACCATGGCCGTCTAACTCACACTCAATCATTCATCACACTACCCGCCTCCTCCATATCAATGACACTGTTGAAGACACACTCCTCCGC